GGTGACCGTCAGCCGTAGCACTGCCAAAGTGTGTGTGCTCTCCTTTTTTTCAATGTTCTATCAAACATGCTTTTATTTTTCGCTGTTGTTGTAATTATTGTTGTTATCGCCGCCGGTGTTTAATTTTCCTCGACGGCTCGAGGGCCGCCACATTGCCGAGCTAATGTTGTATTCTTCAAAAAATCTGTTTTCCATTCAGTGCGCTACGGTTGGAGAGTTGTCGAGTCGTTCGCTGATTTACCTACGCCGCGGGTTTTTGTCGTCGCGCGCAAAAGCATTTCGTATAAAATTTAGTAATTTATTTAACATTTTTTTACCATTTTTTCTGGCTTTCTTTTCGTATTCAAATTTTGCACAACCCTGAAACCCCCCCGCAAGTACAGTTTTTCTGCTTTGCAATTTATTCTAATTCGTTTGCGCATTTCTTATGACGTCTGTCGGTTGTGAGTGTTGTTGTTTTTGTAGTTTCGTCGAAATCAATTGCAATCGTTTGACTACTGCTACTGCCCGCTGACGACGCGCTCCTCCACGAATTGGCGCGCATTGCAACAGTCGGACACTAGGATCGTTTCNACACTGCCAAAGTGTGTGTGCTCTCCTTTTTTTCAATGTTCTATCAAATATGCTTTTATTTTTCGCTGTTGTTGTAATTATTGTTGTTATCGCCGCTGGTGTTTAATTTTCCTCGACGGCTCGAGGGCCGCCACATTGCCGAGCTAATGTTGTATTCTTCAAAAAATCTGTTTTCCATTCAGTGCGCTACGGTTGGCGAGTTGTCGAGTCGTTCGCTGATTTACCTACGCCGCGGGTTTTTGTCGTCTCGCGCGCAAAAGCATTTCGTATAAAGTTTAGTAATTTATTTTGCATTTTTTTACCATTTTTTCTGGCTTTCTTTTCGTATTCAAATTTTGCACCCCCCTGAAACCCCGCAAGTACAGTTTTTCTGCTTTGCAATTTATTCTAATTCGTTTGCGCATTTCTTATGACGTCTGTCGGTTGTGAGTGTGGTTGTTTTTGTAGTTTCGTCGAAAACAATTGCAATCGTTTGGCTACTGCTACTGCCCGCTGACGACGCGCTCCTCCACGAATTGGCGCGCATTGCAACAGTCGGACACTAGGATCGTTTCGATGCTGCCACTCGCCATATTTTGAGGTGTTTGCTCAATTTTGACACCAGTTCACAAATGGTGTGACTTATTGCAGCACGATAAAATTTATAACGGTTGAGTTACTTGTTGTCTCCAACCAGGCAACGTTTGAAAATCTCGACGGAATCGTTTGTTCCCGCAGTCGCCAAAAAAAGGCGTGTGTTGTTTCGTTTTTTGTTTTAACAATTAGTTTTTCGTTCCGGTTTCGATTTCAGTTGCTGTTTTTGGTTGACTAATTGTTCGTGCAATCGCCATACAGGTAATTAAAAATTAAATGCAATTAGGAATTAAAGCTGGTAGTGCATTGGCGGCTGTAGAGCATAAGCAACAACAGTTGCAAATAGTGTTAAATAGGTTGGAAGAAAATCATTGTTCTGTCTTCTCAATGCCAAGTGCGATTTATTTGTGACAAAGCGTTCGTTGATATTTAATTGGGGTTTTATTGTTGCGCGATAGCCGAATTTGGCGTATGGAGAGTGCTTTTGTAAGATATTTAAGACGGCTGATGAGTGGATTAGTTTAGTGTGGTAAATTATACGCTACGGACGAAGGTAAAAAAAACGAACTAGAATCTAAACTAAAGACTAAAGCAAAGAACCTACGTCGTTCTGATTTAGGACAGTCTCATTGAAAACTAATACATAGAGTTCAGAATGCTGTGTGGGCCCTTTTTGGGATCAGTCAACTGCATTGCGCTATAGTGCTTCAATGGAGGCTTTTCGAGGTGTAGTAGAACTTTATGATTCGAATCGTCTGGCTAATTTTTTTCATATTCTTTTTTGCTTGGAAAAAAGTTGCTGGTTTTTTAGACGTCAAAGAGAAACTCTAAAGTCACATGTTCCTTGGTCGCCCAGTCTCTTCGTGATTTTGTAATGCCTAGCGTTTCTACTTGGCTTTCCTCGGCCTCTTTTGTGATTTTTTTTAACTTCTCTGGTAGCTGCCTTTTCGTTAATTTTACACATTTATTTCAATTACTAGGGTCTTATTCTTGCCCACCAAGGCGGCAGCTGCTACTTTCGCAGACTCTCAGGGACTCGTTTTCCAGAAGTTTTGAGCTAATAACATTCATTATTTTCACTTTCTTATTTGATATATGTCTTAGCAGGGACCAAGAACAAAAGGTATGATCGAAACTAAATGTAGTTCTCGCAGTTTTGTTCGCAAGAAAGCTTCAAAACCAAAGCCGATATGAGAACAAAGTTGAGAACTTTGTCTTTGGGCATTCTTTAAGAACTAAACTCTGTGGAACGTTCCCAAAGAGAGCAAATGCGAGCAATACCTTCGGGAATATTTCTAAGAGAACAAAATGGGAACAAAAGATTCTTGAACATGTTGGCAATGAACAAAAAACTGGTACAAAAGTCTAAGGAACTTTCTCTTGATAAAGAGTTTGGAAACTAAAGTCTCAGGAACTTTCTTATACATAGAACAAAACTGGAACAAATCTTCTCTGAACTATAAACGAAGAATGGAAGCGAGCACAATCTTTTTTCATAGCGTTCAATTCGTTTGAAATGCTTTAATATTAAAATTAATCAAAAAAGACCTAAATGGTAATTATGCAAATAAAGTTAACGAAAGACTTAAGACACGAACTTTTCTTGGACAGAAACTAAAAATTGTCCATAAACGGACAACTCACCTTAATGGTAAATAATTTTGAAGTTGATGTGATCCAGCTTTACTCTGGCTCAGAATTAACAATCGTGGCTCTTACTGAAACGATTTTTTCATCCCAATACGCAGACTCCCTCTCCTTCTTAACGTTAAGTTCTCAAAACTTTTGTTCTCTGCCGGAAAGTTATCCGAACGGAACTTGGTTACAAAAAAATTTAAAAGTCCGATGTTAATCATTATTCACCCAGTTTTGGAAGATTCTCTTGCATTACTATAAAACTTGGTACTATAAAACTACACATTTTTAACAGTATTTCAGAAAAACACAAATGTATTTCGGAAAAGGCAAAATGAATTTCAGGAAAGCACAAATGTATTTTAGAAAAAGCCAAATGAAATTCAGAAAATACAATTGCATTTCAGTACAGCTCAAATGAGTTAAAAAAAAAAAACAAAAATGTATTTCAGAAAAGGGCAAATGTATTTCAGAAAAGGGCAAATGTATTTCAGAAAAACGCTAATCAATTTCAGAAAAGCACAACTGTATTCTAAAAGTATTTTGCTGAAATACATTTGTGCTTTTCTGAAATACATTTGCCCTTTTCTAAAATACTTTTGCGTTTTTCTGAAAATCATTTTAACTTTTCTGAAATACAATTGTTTTTTTTTTTTGATTTCATTTGGCTTTTTCTGTAATACGTTTCGCCTTTTCTGAAATACATTTGAGCTTTTCTGAAATACATTTGCCCTTTTCTGAAATACTTTTTAGGTTTTCTGAAATAAATTTGAGTTTTTCTGATATTCATTTGGCCTTTTCTGAAATTCATTTGGCCATATTAAAAATTATTAAAAATGTGTATCTGTGCAATAACAGCTATTTTTTTTGTACATTCATATATAGAAACACCATTTTCTCTGTGTTTACTGACTTATCTAATGAAATCATATGAAACACAAAGGCAATTCGAGCGGGTGCTTCACTACCTTTTACACTTTTTAACCATTTATTGTGGCCATAAAATCGCAATTATTCCGCTTGAATTGCTGTGTCTCAACTATGTTTGACTTGTTTGCTTCCTTATCTTATCGCGCACACAAGTAAGGGAACAATCGTACATACATACATATGTACATGCATAGGTAAAAGAGCGCTTCAATTAGGCAACTATGTTCATAGCGTGTGTATGTCCTATAAATACATTCGTGCTCACTTTGTTTTCATATCGTTTGCATTGTCTCTACATATGTAGNCCTATAAATACGTTCGTGCTCACTTTGTTTTCATATCGTTTGCATTGTCTCTACATATGTAGCTGTAGCTGCGTATTTAGCACGCGGCCTTATCAGTCGGTAGGCATTTGCTTAACCTTTCGCTTATCAGTTGTGTCTCGTTTTACATTCGCGCTGCCGCCGACACTGAAAAGCAGCTATTTTTCTGTCAACGCATTCAACGCTAGGAGCAAGTATTTATTTTGATTGCATTGTGTTTTATCATCCTGTTGATATTTGTTTTTGAATTGTTGTCTACGATGTCTCTGGATGTATTCATCTGTTGTTTTTCTTTTGTGCTTCCTCTCCTGTGCTTCATATTCATACAAACATACATACTTATGTATCAGATATCAGATCAGTCTGTACTCATTTGCGCTTTGCAAACAAAAGACTTTGAAAACGAACTTCAATGCATTTCAACGCTCGGTCACTCGCTTATCGTTGGCATCAAAGTTTATATGGATATACATATATATGTATTTAAATATATATGTATGTGTGTGTGCCTGGCTGAGGCGTGCAATGAGTTATAGCATTTGATTCAGCGCTGTTATTTAGATTTTTTTTTTTATTTACATATGTAGTATTTACTCTTGTTTAGCTGAATTTTTAGTTCAGTCAGTTTCATAGAACTGAATTTTTAAAGTTCAACGTCAGCAGAATGAAAAATTAAATTTAACTGTTGACACAGCTGCTTTTGTATTTTGTTCTTATAAATGTACTGCATGTTCGTGTGTGTGTGTGTGTGTTTGCGTGTTTTTTTCACTTTTCCTCCCTCTGCCGCTTTCCGCCCCTAGCATGTCGTATTCGCGCTTTTCAATTCATATCAATCCAATTGTAGCCGCTGCCACTATGGGCTGCCAACTCTGCTACTCTGCTGCTCTGCTGCCTCACCTAACTACATAACAGCGCATTGAAATATTTTTATTGTGTAATTTAGCAATTCAGGTGTTTTCATTTCAGTTCAGTTGAGTTCAGTTCATCATTCAGTTGAGTATTCGCTCATCATTATCAGTTCTGTGGTCAGGCCGTTTGTTTTTGAGTTTGTTGTTTTTGTCGTTGTTGTTGTTGTTGTCGAGGTTTCCACTACAAATTGTAATGTGCACAAATTGATTCAGCGACACAGGCAACGGACCACAGGCGACCGACCACCAACCAAACAAAAAACTGAGGTTTTGTTCTGATTTCAGTATCAATTCGAAGCGGTCCGTCCAACGCCCGCCCCAATGACATACACAGCTACTTATTCATATCAACGTATGTATGTAGTCTTGTTAAAGCTTAAATTACAATATTTCTCTTCCTTTCTCTTCTGCTCTTGTTCTCTTCTTACAGCATTTTCAAAACGCTCTAATGCAAAACGANGAATGTCATACACAGCTACTTATTCATATCAATGTATGTACGTATGTATGTAGTCTTGTTAAAGCTTAAATTACAATATTTCTCTTCCTTTCTCTTCCGCTCTTGTTCTCTTCTTACAGCATTTTCAAAACGCTCTAATGCAAAACGAAAACAGAAAATTGAAAAAATAACACTAATCGCCAAAACACCCTCTTCGTAGAGCAGGAAAAAAAATAACTTAATCGCTTGTAAAAAAGTTTTCACAAACCAGTAACTGAAAATGTACAGCAAATAAATCATCGACGACACGAGTCACTTACAACTAAGCAAATATACCTACATACAAATATAATCGCATGAAAGCTTACAAATAAAATTTGGTGTTGGTTTTGAAATAAACAACTGCTTGAAGTGAAATTATGCGGTCAAGTAAATTATAAAACTAAGTGGAAGGAATAAAAATCGAAAAATATTCAATTAGCTGCAAGTCGCAGTGGTGAAAGAGAGACTCATCCCTACATACATACAAACATATATCCATAACTTTATCCCAATGTAACATATTATTAAAACATTTACTATTTCCCTTAAAAAATAACTGTTAAATTTCAAAAGCGTATGAACCTTGCAATAAGTCTAAGCTTGTGGTGACGGTGCTTCTAAAAATTAGAGCTGAAAATAATTTGAAATAAAGTATTTTATAATAAAACGATTATTTCTTAAAAAACAACAAAAAATGCACAGTCGGCACTCTGTTTCCAAAGAAGATGTCGCTTCCGTGCACACCGACAGCGGTATTTCGCTTTCGTCACCGCCAGCGGCGCGATCAGAGCAAGGCGAGGGTGAGGAGCCGTCAGAATCGGCGGCAAGTACCAAGAAAAAGCAAGTCCGACGACGTGTTAGTGATGTGAAAGCTACAAAAAGGGCGCACAAACGCAAACCAGTATGTGGAAAGGTAGCGCCAGCGGCTAAAACGCAGAAAATAGCGAAATCAGCAAATTCAGCAGCGCACGAAAGCAATTCAGTGCTATCTAAAAATGATTCAGCACTGGCAGCCGTACAACTGGAGAGCCAAAAGGAGCAGGCGGAACATCAAGCGACCAATTCAGCACTTGTTGACAGCACAACTACTAGCATAACATCTAAAATATATGATCCAACATTAGTGGTGGATAAATCTGTAGCAACTTCGGAGAATTCCATTTCCGTTGTCATTTCAGCGTACTCCGAAATAGATATCATACCAACAGCAGCCGATATATCGGACATAGCGCATTCAACTTGTGATTCCGCAATATCGGCGGGCGATTTAGCTTCCGTATCTACGCCAGCGCCAGCAACTACGACGACGAAAAGACGCACGCGCCAAACGTACATTTGTCTTGTATGCTCCAAGCAATTTCGTGGCAGAAATGATCTGCGTCGTCACATGCTCATCCACTCCGACGAGCGTCCGTTCAAGTGCGAGCAATGCGGCAAGTGCTATAGACAGGCGGTCAATCTTCGAAATCACATCGCCTCCGCACATGAGAGCCATCGGCAGTTCGCCTGCCCGCAGTGTCCGAAAATGTTCGCTCTGAAGGGCCGATTGCGGCTGCACATGAGACTGCACTCAGGCGAGAAGCCATACGCATGCACACAATGTGAGAAGCGCTTTGCGCGTGGCGGTCATGTATGTAGAAATAGCTCGCTTAAATAATTGTTGGCTGTTGCCAAACTAACACTTTTTCTTTTCTCTCTGTTTCTTTGGCTCTCTAGCTTCAACAACACATCATTAGCCATCACAAGGGTAGCACCAAGCAATATGTTTGTGAGAAATGCTCCACCGCCTTCTCGTCGGCCTCAAACTTGCGCGCACACATGGACCGCCACGAAAATGGGCCCGATCACTATTGTGAGATTTGCAAGGAACACTTCCCCAATGAGCCGGTACTGCGGGCACACATCAACAAACTGCACTATGAGTTGGGCCAGTTCGATTGCGAGATCTGCAAGAAGACCATAGAGGATGACGCCCTTGCGCATCACATGAAGATGCACACGAATGTCAANTGCACATGAGAGCCATCGGCAGTTCGCCTGCCCGCAGTGTCCGAAAATGTTCGCTCTGAAGGGCCGATTGCGGCTGCACATGCGACTGCACTCAGGCGAGAAGCCATACGCATGCACACAATGTGAGAAGCGCTTTGCGCGTGGCGGTCATGTATGTAGAAATAGCGCGCTTAAATAATTGTTGGCTGCTGCCAAACTAACACTTTTTCTTTTCTCTCTCTTTCTTTGGCTCTTTAGCTTCAACAACACATCATTAGCCATCACAAGGGTAGCACGAAGCAATATGTTTGTGAGAAATGCTCCACCGCCTTCTCGTCGGCCTCAAATTTGCGTGCACACATGGACCGCCACGAAAATGGACCCGATCACTATTGCGAGATTTGCAAGGAACACTTCCCCAATGAGCCGGTACTGCGGGCACACATCAACAAACTGCACTACGAGTTGGGCCAGTTCGATTGCGAGATCTGCAAGAAGACGATAGAGGATGACGCCCTTGCGCATCACATGAAGATGCACACGAATGTCAAGACCCACATCTGCGAGGTGTGCAAGGCGTACTTCATGCAAAAATCGCAGTACAATGTGCACATGCGCATGCATACAGGCGAGCGGCCGTATCAGTGCAGAGTGAGTTATTTTATACGTATGCAAACGAAAGACTTGGGGCGCGAACGCGCTGCCTTAATGTTTGAATCTTAGTTGCTCATATAACTTCTTTATCTTCTCACAGATTTGCTGGCAAACTTTCGCCTACTCGAGCGTCCTGAAGCTGCACATACGCAAGCATACGGGCGAAAANAGGCGAGCGGCCGTATCAGTGCAGAGTGAGTTGTTGTTTACGTATGCAAACGAAAGACTTGAGGCGCGAACGCGCTGCCTTAATGTTTGAATCTTAGTTGCTCATATAACTTCTTTATCTTCTCACAGATTTGCTGGCAAACTTTTGCCTACTCGAGCGTCCTGAAGCTGCACATACGCAAGCATACGGGCGAAAAACCGTTCCAGTGTTCGCTGTGCAAGGATGTCGTCGCCTTCTCACAGCTGGCACATTTCAAGACACACATGAAGAAAATCCATAAGCAAACCAATCCCTACATGTGCGAAGGCTGTCAGCAGTTCTTCAAAGTCAAGGCAGAGCTACAGGCGCACATGCAACAGTGTGGCAGCTGCAATGTCGACGTGGAACAGCAGAATGCACAAAATAACGATTTGCAAACGCTCACACACCTACGCTTCCTCATGGCGTTGCTGCTGAAGAAAATCTCATCGCCGCAAAAATTGCAGCAGTTGGGCTACGAGAAGCGGCTAATCGACAATGTTGTGGTAGCTTCGTTGAAATTGGCCAATCGCAAGGCATGCGAGGATCCGGCGTTGTCGCCAATCGCACGTATGCGTCTGAATGTTGAGGAGTTTCTCAATTGGATCGTGCCGGCGCAGGCGATGGAAACATTTCGCCAGGAGCAACAATCAGTGGAGAGCTTATTGGATAAAATTGTTACCATGTACATGAAGCATAAATGATTGTGCGGAGTTTTTTTTTTCGAACGGCTGCTATTTGTAGTGAGTTTTTTTTGCAAATAATTTTTGAATGTGCCATAAGACAGCGACGGAAGTGCCAGCCATTGCCCTGCGAGCTTTTGCGGCGAATTAATTGACAAATGAATTTGCGGTTTAGTTTTTCGATTCAGATTTGAATCCCTCTTTCAGAATTTAAGACGCTGAATTTTCTTATTTTATGTTCCCATTATTTGTTTTTTGTTTTTGTATAAGACACCAAAAAGAGCAATCCAAAGATATCTATTTGCCAAAGCCTAAGCATTAATTTAAGTTTCTTATAAGTTATTGCGCGTACATATGCATTGTGCATATGTTTGCGTTTTGTTTTTTGTTCATCAATTATTTGACTGAAGTTTCCCGATTTTGCCCCGTTTTGGATAACGGTTTTGCGTTCTTTCTTAGATATTAGACTAGTCATATCCGCATAGAAGTTAGTTGACACACAATTTTCAAAATAATACCAAAATGCTGTATATGCAAACGCTATCAACTCTTGCCATATATAGGTTTAGATTTACATATGTACATACTTATGTGACTTAAAAAGAACCTTAATACTACCAATAATCATTTGTTTCATGAATGAATAAAGATTTGAATTAAAAATAAAAAAGGAGATAATAATTAACTCTACGTATATAAAAACGAAAAACGGCTAAGCAATGCGTGAATGATGTGGGCGGATCTTGTGAGGAGAAGACTGAACAGATGACTAGATCACTTCGTGTCAGACCCACAGCTTAAGTGTTTCGCTTTCATCAAGGATAATAATCTGCAACTACATAGTTGTACAGCATGTAAGCGTTTTTGCAAAAATCTTGTTTCTTTAGAATAAGCAAAGCAGCAGAAAGGACTTTCAAAAATAAACGGGCAAGTCTTTTATAAATTTGTACCAATGCCCTTTTTATAGCTCTTTTATTTATAGTACTAGTATGTGATATCGCGAAACGCTACCATATTTGATGAAAGGAGATTGTGATGTACAAAAAGTGTTTTATAAAATCGCACAAAAGCAGCCGGCTCTGTCTATTTGCAATCAAATTGCACTGTATGGAACAAATGCTTGTGGCAAAGAAAATACTGTGGCGTAGTGGTAAGCAGTGCGCGCTTTCATACATCAGCACCTGGGTTCAAGCCCTGGTCAAAGCAACACCGCAAAAAATATAGAAAAAGGTTTTTACTTAACAGCGGTCGTCCCTCAGCAGGCAATGGCAAACCTCCGAATGTATTTCTGCCATGAAAAACAGCGGAAGTGATACTTAAATAAATCTTTTGCTAATGCTGCTGTTGTGGGCGATCTAACACCCATACTACGTCGAGTCTTTTCCTTAATAATAATAATAGATTGGCGCTTACACATATGTTAGTGTTTGGCTGAGTCTCTCCTCCGATTTGTGGCGTGCGCCTTGATGTTGTCACACAGAGGGGAGGGACCTACAGTTTCACGCCGACTCCGAACGGCGATTGTATTTTTATGAGAAGCAGAAATACACTCGGAGGTTTGCCATGGCCTGCCGAGGGGCGACATTTGATCTCGACCGAGACGAATTTTTGTAATAAATAGGGAAATGGTTTCACATTTTTGTAAATAGAGCAAGAAATAATGAGTTTATAATGGAATTTTGTTGATCAAACTAAAAAAAAACAACAATTTTTAAGTGCATTTCTGTAAGATTATAATTCTTTGCTGTAAGAAAGTTCTAAATATCAATTTTGGGCATTTTGGCTTTTGTAGTTAGTTAAATATTTCAGCTTATGCCTTATTAAAAATTACAGTTATATAAAAGGTTGGCGGGACAGTACCTCTAAATGACCAATTTTTTTTGCATAGAGCTTCGCCAATCTTATACCTTACCTTGTGGAAAATTTCATTAAGCTATCTTCAATAGTTTTCGAATCACAGAATTAAAGGCACCTAGATTGGCGAAATCTCACACAGTGCGACTGTCCATGCTTCCGTAATTCACTTTCTTAATAGAACGTAAGACTCGTTTTTTGAATATTATTTTACACTTGCATTAACATACATACGCACAAGCATCTGCTATACTAAGGCTTACGGCACTCAAGCATTTCAGCTTATACATATATATTTATTTAACTGCATTTTCAGATTTAATTGGCATTTTCTTACACTCTGCTACACAAAAAGCGCGATTTTATTCAACAAAATATGTTTATGTAATAAGAAGGTTTAATTTCAACTTGCTATTTGGCATCCGACTAGCGAAGGCGGAAACTGAAAAACGGTCACAATGGTTGACAGGGTTGCTTTTCCGTTGAGAAAATTAAGAATTAATTTTGATCTGCAGTAAAAAGGTAACAGTAATTATAATAAATGAATTTAAATAAAAAAATAATTCCTTCAAAAACAAATGTTAGCTTTTTAAATATACACATCTTGCAATGCTTATTTACAAAATATATCCAGAATTATTTAGTACAGGGTGGTGAACACCACTAAAAATCAAATTTGCAACGCAAATGCAACACTGCAACGTTAAGCTCCCGCCGCCATTTAAACCACCTGTCAGTTTCCGTGTGTGTAAGAAAAGTGCTGCAATAAGTGAAAAGTGTAAAATTCTAAGTAAATATAGTTGAAAATGGTGTAAATTGTTGTGCATATAAGAGTCGTGATGGTTATTTATTGAAAATAATTAATAAAGGTTTGCAGCCATTGAAATTAGTGTATTTAGTTTGAATGTGCAAAAAGCAATGTAGCACATGGGCTGCGCTGCCACAATCTTGTGTTATGTGTATTGAATAAATATGTGTATAAATGTGTGAATAATAAAAGTTGAGCAAGCATTAAGGATTTCAACAATTTTAGAAATTAAGGTAAGTTTTTAGATTTACAAAATATTAAACTGTAAATGTAAAAAGGCGCGCAGCTGTCGTTTGCCTATTTGGGTGCTACCATATTCGGATACTTTTTTTGCCATCGCTCGCAAGTTCCTCAATTGCTTTAGTATCATAGATGTTCATGTTTATAACAATAATAATAGACTAACACATATGTTAGTGTTTGGCCGAGCCTCTCCTCCGATTTGTTGCGTGCGCCTTGATGTTGTCACACAAAGTGGAGGGACCTACAGTTTTACGCCGACTCCGAACGGCGATTGTATGTATGAGAAGCTGTTTTTCATGGCAGAAATACACTCGGCAGTTTGCTATTGCCTGCCGAGGGACGATTGCTGTTAAGAGAAAACCTTTTTCTATATTTTTTGCGATGTTGCTTTGACCAGGGCTTGTCCATGTTTACATAGATTTTATCATGATACAAAAAAGAAGGTAGTTCCATTGTCACTTTTTTGTCGCCATATTAACAACCTGACCCAGTATCCAAAACCCTCCAAATTTGCTGGTTATTTACAAACATTTTGTTCTTAGAATCGAAATTTGAACAGCAAAAGGCATATTTNAAGAAGGTAGTTCCATTGTCACTTTTTTGTCGCCATATTAACAACCTGACCCAGTATCCAAAACCCTCCAAATTTGCTGGTTATTTACAAACATTTTGTTCTTAGAATCGAAATTTGAACAGCAAAAGGCATATTTTTGGGTACGGCTGGGTTACTTGTACAATAATTTTGGGTTAATGTGTCCAAATGCTTAACCCAAAGCTAAAAATTTTGACATTCACGTGTGGTCAAACAATTACACGTTCGTTTAAAATAAAGATTTCTAACTTTCAGATACAAATTTATGAATAAATTCGGTTTGAAATATGGACCTTTTTAAAAAAAAATATTGTGGTCAACGTAGCCGGTGTTGGACCTACATTTTCTCTGTAAAAATTCTAATTTTACCCAATTTTTTAATGGGCCCGTCTCNTAATGGGTCCGTCTCCGCTTGCCACCCCAAAACCATTGAACAAATAACCGAACATTTCCCCTTTTGTTTTTTTAAAGATAAGAGGTCTAATGCTTAATAAGTTTATAATTATGTTTCTAGTTTTCATACTAACAATAAATCATCAATTTTGTTTCACACCCCCTCCAATATTGAACAGTAAAATATATTTGTTTTTACCCACAGGAACAACGATATTGTCGAAATATACTAGAATTAGATAATAGTCACTTCACTGAAAGTCATGAGGCCCATGGGTCCCAAAGTAAATTCCGTTTTCAAGTTACTTGAAAGACATGGGCAAAGACAATATCGAAATTGTAATTTCAGTGTCTGAAATATATCAGAAATAAATGTATCCGATATAGAAAACTGTAATAGTCTTGGCTAGCTCCATTGTGAAATAATCAGATGACATAATTATATTAAAGAATTTTAAAATATGTTCACTAAAATTTTATTAATGTAAAAATAATGATTTTGGCAAGTAGTTATCGAATTTAATGTAAAATTTAAACATTTTTAAGAAAAGATATTAATTATTTTTAAAAGGTAAATGTTAATACAACTATTTTATTTATACTCCCAAATTTAGGATATAAAATCCCCTCTACCAAAAAACTAAAATTGGGCAACGCCGCTTCGAATTTTTTACAATTGTGCAATTGTCAAAAATCTCCTTTTTAATCAAAAAGTTGTTTATTGAAACTACCTTCTTTTTTTATCATGGGTTTTATTACATCTTACCGATTTTGACAGCGTGTTAGGAAGTGAAGTTGGCTGCAGAAAACGATGAAACTGTCTTTTTACACATACAAACCAATGTTCATTGTTGCTGTAATTTTTTATATTTGACAAAGGCGGACCTCCATAGCATGCGTATCCGTATGCGTGCATTTGACATCTACGCTTATTCGATATTCAGACACGGAAAATTTTGTTGCGTCAACTCGAAGCTTATGGGGGAGAGAGCGACGAGGAAAGGGGACGGGTACCGAGTTGCCCGTGCTCGGGCAACACGCTTTGTGCTCTCGTTCGTCTGAGTAATTCAAGTTGGCGGCTCATAGCTGACAACAAAAAATTGCGTACAGAAGAGTTGCTGTGTGTGAATGCAAAAGGCAGCAACACCAAAAGAGAAATCGCCGATAATATGCATCTCGAGTTTCCGTCTCTGAAGGCATAAATTTTACAGAGCCCCTATTTTTCTTAATTTTTTCAACTTTGATCATCGCTAGTTTCAATAA